CCATGTAGAAGTATTTCACTAGACCGCTTTTACGCCCTTTCTCCAATGATTTTTCAAACCTTAAAGGACTCGAATTATGGTAATCATGCAATGTCTGTCTGTAATTCAAGTCAATCATATGTATAACCTTGTGCTCTCTTTACCTATTCAGTTCTCTCTTATGCCCGCATAGCGCATGTACAGTACGCATAGATGAGAATGTTTCTTCCGCTATGGCCCCGGAAACAGCATAGATCTCCTGCTCAACTTGAGTCCTAAAATGATGATATGTCTAGTATCCCAAAAGTGGGATCATGTCAGTCTAATAGGAAAATAGTTTAAAATATTCAATTGAAACTAAGTAATGTTAAAAAATTCATGATAAATTATAATAAAATAATTAATATAATATAAAGTGATAAAAGTTGTAAGAGGATGGGAGTTTATATAAAATGTATATTTTTTTGATCATTTCCAACAGTGACAGGAAAAACTCACCTTGTAGCCACAATTCTTGCCATCCAATATGCAGATATTACGATTAATGGTGCGACAGCCATCATCACTAACGTCATCGACCAGCTTAAATGGTAATTTAGCTCGGAAGAGAGGGCAATTGGTAAAAATCAAAAATTACGTTACCTGAACGCAAATCCCACACCAAAACCAGCCACAAAAGCCGAAACCATCTGGATAAATAGCGAAAGCTTATCGCCAAGGCCCTCTCGAACCCGCTCAAGGTCACTGAATATGGAATTTTTATGTATGGCTGATACACAATTTCTGGAACATACTCGGTTAGTCTAGCGGTCAGATTTCCAGTTTGTAATTCATCGAACCAAGAGACTTCTTGTCTGAGGATGGCTTTCAAGTAGATTTGGCGGAGTTTGTGTACAATTTTTTCCGCATAACTTTCAAAGCAGGCAATCTGTGAGACACAAAGGAACAATCAATAAAGTCAACAAACAAAATATACGATACATACCTGGATATAAGAGGTTAAAAACATTGCTATACCTAACCCAAGGTAATATAAACAGTACGTCTTTACTTGCTTATTAAATTCTTCCCTGTAAATATAAACAAGAGCAGAATGCAAGTTATGCTAATAATAGTTTAGCTAAACTTCTATCACCTTGTAATCGGTTCCAATCCCGTTGGATCACTTTGATTCTCCCCTAAGACGAAGTCAGAATTTTGTGCACGAAGGAATACTGTAGTCATTCCACCCAGCACGATACCCAATATAGAGAATCCTGCTCCATGTATAAATGATGCTAGAGATCCAATTGCCAAAAGCAGGTAATCTATGGGAGAGGCTAAGGAGAGCTGTAATGTTCGTGAAATTACTTGGAATTAGAGGAGTTGGGTGAGATTGT